CGGTCCCATATAAATTTGGAGGAAAAATTATGTTCCTAAGGGTGGTAAAACAGGGGATGAGGTTTTTAATATAACTATTTAGTCACATTGAGATTGTGATCTTCCTTGACCATCAATAGGGTATAAATAACTTGTTAAAAACATATTATACAGTTAGCAGTAGGCGTAGTCAGGCCCGTGACTTCGCCCGCGTAGAATTATTTTGCGCAGATCCCTAGAATAAAAGTAGCCCAAGTTACTTGGCTTACACATAAAATATGGATATAATATATTGTCGCGGATATTTTTTGTAGAACTATTTAGGAGAAACAATTCCACTATACATTATATTCGTGTAACTCTTTAAAGTTTTTGCATTACTTTGACTTACTTAATATTTTGGTCATAGACAATGTCTTTACGAATCATAGCTTATCTGTTATACTGATGTATAAGCTATATGATTGTAAAGTTTCATTAAAATCCATTCAGTAGTTTTGCGTGAAAGAGTAACAAACATCCATACAACCTCACAAATTTTTACGTTTATAATATTATAGTACTTTTACTTTTTATAACAAGTTATTTTCTTTTTTTGTGTTTAACTTGACCCTTTTGAGTGGACAAGGTATATATCGCAATCTCAATGTGACTAAATAGTAACATTAAAAACTGCATCCCCTGTTTTGCCACCTTTAGGAACACAATTTTTTTTCCCAATTTATACGGGACCACTCGTGATGTATAACCTATTTAATAAAAAAGGAATCATTCAATTCAGTTCTCAAATGGCGAAGATATAGCATAACATACAAACAAGAAAACGTTCAGTCGAAATGTAAAAGTAGTTTTGATTTAAAAAAATAATGCTTTGGTTAATTAAATTAAATCTTTAAATATATATACCTATTACCTACAAACTTGATTTAGGTTCTATTTGCTTCTAAGTCTATCATAGTAGCAATTTACCTTCCAGAGTTAACCGCTATGACGTCATAGAACAAAAACAAACCGATCAATAGTAATCGTACAAATATGCCATAGAAACCTGAATCACTTTGAAGAATTCTTATCTATCATTAGGTACCTACAAATAAATGTTTCGCTTTAAAAATTCCCAACATATTTTCTTGAATTTCTTACCTGCCACAAGTGATAAGGGAACAAACACACTTAGACCTTTTTAAACAATGATTGTTATTAAATATTAAGAAGAAATAGTTATTTTGTCTTAGTTAAATAATGGTTTAATTTAGCATATTTTAACTTATCTTTACCTACAGCATTTAGTAATGCTTTGGAAATTTAGATCTGTTATAAGAGACTTTCCATCGTATACCAAATACCGAGGATTATACGAGGATATACATAAATACAGTACCTAGTAAAATAAATTAATAATGTACCAAATCAAAACATTAAATGAAACTAACAAGTATAAAAATGTGAAGGAAAGGAAAAGCCACTTTACAGTATCAAATAGCAGCAATATTCATTCCTTTGCATTACAACTGTTACCTTGTAGTGGCGGTGTAAGAATATCCACTACCCTACGTCATCCCGTGGGAGTCGTAAGAGGCAACAGAGGGTAACAAATCAGGAGATGGGCAGCAGCGTCTTCCTAATAACGATTAAAAATAAAGAACTGCGGTTGCCAACCCGCTTGCCAAGTGTGGCAACTATGGCAAGTATTCTCCTAATAGGCAATCTATGGGTTCAGGAGTGGACTTTAATAGGCTGTAACGGTAACGGTAACAGTATGTAAAGAACGTCCCACTGCAAGGAACTGGGTCTCGTTTTAAGGAGGTTTATGGAGCAATGCTGCTTTAATGTATGACGAACTTCAAAGGTCCTTGATATATTGTATTTTTTAAACATGCAGGGCATTTTCATCTTATTTTCCTTTACCGCCGAACATGTAGTTCATTGGAGACGGTGGGGATGGAACCCGGGGAAGTGCGTATCTTTCAGCGAGCGTTTAGCCTCAGACCGACAGAGTTACCACGGCTCTCACGAGGTATGAGGTGAGGAGTAAATTATATAGATTATATTATACTCTTTAAGAGTATTCTGGCCATACCAAAATATTTAACGCAAAAAGAAAGATTCGCTAGAAATATCATGCAAAATTATTCTCTAGCAACACTAAGAAATCTATGAGTAGCACATCTTTATCTTTATGGCACGCTCTTTGATTTTTATTTTTAATCATTATGATAAATTAACTGCTAAACGTCGTATTAGGATATTGGACATACAAATATTATTAATAAATAAGATAATGCTTGTCTAATCGCAGGCTTAAATAAATTGATAATAACCACGCATAATTCGAATAAAATGTAAGTATCTTGGATTGTGGATTCCTTTTTCAAATCTGAAGATAAACTTTTGCCGCCAAAGAATTTTGCAAATGAAGTGTTATTGCTGACGTTGTAATTAAATTGCGCTGAAGTGCTCCACCTTAGCACTGAACTAGATATCTGACCCGATTTTTTTGTTAGTCATCATCATTTTCTTAATGAGGTTTTGATCAAGTGTATTCGACCTAGATTTTGAATGAAAACAACGTGTAAAACTAAAAGAAACTCCTTGTAACTAATTTCACGCTATTTTGCAGATATGTTTTATAAATAAAATAAAAATTGTAGGTTTGCAAATTAATTTCATGCATTGCATTGTAAGTATGTAAGTAATTTATGAAGGGCTACGTAGTCGCTCAAGAACATAAACCTTTTTCCAAGCAATAAAATAAAAATGAAATTCTGGAATAATAAACGTATAATATTATATATTGAGTATATTATGTCGTATGAAAGCTATAGAAAAATTTTATAGCAATAAATAAGTAATTAGGTGTAGTTCCAACAATAAAAACTACCAATATGAGAGGTAATTATGTATTGCCGTTACAGTTTTATATATAGAATAACCAAATAATATGGCAAATCAACGCATTTTAAAATAAAATTCAAATAGGTATTTTTATTACATATGTTGGTTTACATTTAAAAATAAAATAAAAAATTTAAAAAAATAATTCTTACTTACTATTTTCTTTCTCTATCTGTCCTTTTTCGAAGAATCTTTTTAAAATCACAAATATTGTTTCATACACCACTCAACTTAACTGCAACTTTATTTCAATCCAAATTAATTTAATAATATTCTAACTTATATCGCGAGTTACGTCAAGTAAGCGTTCATGACTCTGTTCGCTCACCGGTATTCGTAAAAGCGGTACACGACACGTAATCATTACCCTGTAAATTTTTTAGTGTTGCTATATGAACAATAAAAAATACCAAATAACTTTTGAAAATAATTTTAAAGTACTTGTAAACCGAACGGCCCACTTTTTAAAATTCAGCGCGTAGGCAACGTCAACTCTCGGCTATCTTCTTTTTTCGTCTCAACCGGTGATATATTTTTATCTCTTTCGACGAATAAAGCCATCTCTCTTCTACAGGTATGGAAAACCAAGTGCATTCGTCCTTGACTCTGAACTCGGTTCCAGCAAGAAATTAAATGTACCGTTTTGATTTTCTATCTCACTTGACGCGTTAACATTTTTCTATGTGAGAATAAGATATGTACAATTACCGGCTAAGTGTGAAATCTGGCTGTCAATGACCGAGGTTTCGAAGGATCAAATTAAAACGACATTTCGAACTGTTATATTTTACTGTTATAATAATATGTGAGGTCCTTCGACCTCGTTCGGAAAGTTTTCGAGTTAAACATTTTGTGGAATGCCTTTCTTTATGTTTGTAGGTCAGTTGAAGCATGGAGTTCGATATTTTCTTTATTAAATTTAGTAGTAGGCTGTATTATTTTATTTCCTTCTGTAATGAACAGTTATTGATGGTTGAATGGTTGATAGCTTTTTCATTATTTATAAGACGGTTGTGTACGTGTTGTAACTGAACAATGATTTTACCGTTAGGTAGGTACATTGTGTGAATAATATGCACAGAATAAAATTCTCGACTATTTCTAGTATGTCAGTAGGTACTGATAACACCTGATAACATTTTGTCAAGGTGTTTAGATCTCATATTTTTAATATATTTAGTATTATGTTTTATAGGATAAGGGTGACAAACGAGCACACAGTCCATCTGATGGTAAGTGGTTGCTGCGGCCCATAGACATCTACATCTATCCTCTGTTACAAATCAAAATATAGATGTGTTGTCACCCGTGAGGACTAAGATGGAATGCCTCATTTCCAGTAAAAAGGGCCTCCGGCCACCTGCACTCACCAAGCGAAACGCAGAGGTAAACCTCTACTTCATGCTGGCTTTCTGTGAGGTCGTGGTACTACCCCGGTTCGAGCCGGCCCATTCGTGCGACAGCAAAAGCTGCTTCGTGGCTCTACCACTGTTTAAAGTTTTAATATAGTTCAGCCTTTAATATGTAACAAGCGCTAGTTTCACTCGAAAATGTTATTAATTATGTTCATGTAAAATAAAACTGCACACTAGATCCCGAAAATTTCTATATGTAATTAAAATATTTCTGCTCTTTTGTCTATTATAATTATCGAATAGGATAATAATTATAATAATAATAGGTCATTTGAGGCGATTGGGACTCCGTGACGGAATGTTCCGGGCTCAAATGCAGAAGGCGGTGCTCCTTGATACCGCCCACATCATCCGCCGGTTTCTCTCCCTTTCTCCCTAACCCTCGTCCGTTTGCCGTTTGGTCTTTCTTGCCGGGGGCGTTTGTTTGAGTTGGGTTTTTATTTATTTATGTATTTTTTATTTATTTATTTTAGTTATTGATATATGTGTATATTAATCATTTTCATTTATATATTTATATAGCCCAACCAGATGAGAAAACTATATAAATACTCCAATAACAATAGTAGTAGGAGATCTGCCGACTAATATTTGTAAATCATTATCGATTGATGGAGGTATATTGATGTAAAAATAAATTAAATATAATTCGTAATTACCCCAAAAGTAATTGATAATAATTTTCATTCTTGTATGTTTTTGAAACAATAAATGGTAACACAGCTGGTGGAAAAACTTTATCTATGTAAGTATTTCTTCAATTTCCTAAAGTAAAAATATCAAACGAGGAATGATGCCTGCAAATAATTACTTATTTGTCTTTATGTCATATGACAGTTAGAAAATCATTAAAAAAATTGAATAAGAAAATATTTGATAAAGTTTAATTAAACAACTTCTTAAGTTTTTGGTGAGCGATAAAATTTGCGTGCCCTCAACACCCTTTATTCTATCCTGACATCTACTTCTTCCTACTTAACTCCTTACTTTCAGGTTAGTTATTTGCTTTAGTCATTGGATAGAAACCTTCACTCAACATTCAATCTACTCCCAATGATATATGTATATACATTATATGATTATAACCTCCAATAGCTCTACTCTACTTTCGTCAATTCTTTTTTCCCTATTAAATTTATAGTTCGGCAGTGGACATAATTATGATTGACTGTAGTGAGTAATATGTACGCTATATATATGATGATTTCTCATATTTACGCGAAGACTACACGTTAAATGAAACTAATTTTTACGGATTTTATCGCGTTTAATTTAACTTTTTAATTCCCGATGTTTCGGGTTTACAGCACCCATGGCCAGGGGGGGAGGGGACTGAGGTGTTTGACGTCCCGATGTCATAGTTAGCCCGGCTACCTTCAGTTTTTGAATATTAATGTTTGGTCCGATCTACGCAGAATGAGCTGACAGTTGTAAAGCACCCGAAACGGGAATTAAAAAGTTAAATTAAACGCGATAAAATCCGTAAAAATTAATTACATTTAATCTATACGAGTATATATGTTTTTTTTTCTTTAAATAAACGTTACCTCCACACTAGGATTTTCTCCTGTGTCGTGGAGGCAGTTTACAAACATAAACTGCACAAGGACAAACATCCAGACCCGGAAAAATTATTTGTGGGCCATACAAACACTTGTTCCGTGCGGGATTCGAACCAGCGGCCCCCAGCGCAATAACTGATTGCTAAGCCACTGCGCCACGGAGCCGTCAAATGGATTTTTTTTAATGTACCACTCTATTTCTAACCAACTTCAAAAAGGAGGAGATACCTCAAGTCCAAAGTAAGTTTTTTATGTGTTACCTCATAACTTTTTTCTAGGTGAACCGATATTGAAGATTCTTCTTTTCTGCCGACTTCCATTAAGAAGACGATACTCAATTCGATTGTATGTTTTTTTGTATGTGTGTTACATCATAACTTTTTACTGGGTGAACCGATTTCGATGATTCTGCTTTTATTTGAAAGCTGATACTTCTCGTGTGGTCCCATATGAATTTGATCAAGGTCAAACCAATAGTTCTTGAGTTATTCTTAATAACTTATATTGAAGTCAGCTGTACAAAATTTTTAATTTTAAATTATACATATCAAAATACACTTCAAACCATTACTATTATTTGAAAGCTGGTTCTCATATGGTCCCATATAAATTCAACGTCTGATCTACTTTTTCAACAGACTTCAAAAAGTAGGAGACACTCAATTCAACTGTATGTTGTGTGTTACCTCATAACTTTTTTCTGGGTCAACCGATTTCGATGATTCTTTTTTTATTCTTAATAATTTATATTGAAGTCGGTGGTACAAAATTTTTAATTTTTAATTATATTAAATTTTAATTTTCGTTTCTAAAATTGAAATGACAAATGAACTCACAGTCCACTTGATTGTCAGTGGCTACTGTTAGCCCATGAATACCTGCGACTAACTTCAAATAAGGAAGGCTACAGATGCGCCGTCATATTTTAATTTTAATTTTAGTTTCTAAAATTGAAGTGGCAATCGAACTCACAATCCGCCTGATTGTAAGTGGTTACTGTTAGCCCATGAAGACCTTCAAATGAGGAAGGCTACAGATGCACCGCCTTATTTTAATTTTAATTTTCGTTTCTAAAATTTAAGTGAAAAACGAACTCATAGTCCACCTGATTCTACGTGGTTACTGTTAGCCCATGAACACCTCCAAATGAGGAAGGCTACAGATGCGCCGCCTTATTTTAATTTTAATTTTAATTTTCGTTTCTAAAATTGAAGTGACAAACGAACTCATAGTCCTCCTGATTGTAAGTGGCTACTATTAGCCCATGAACACCTGCGACTAACTTCAAATAAGGAGGGCTACAGATGCGCCGTCTTATTTTAATTTTCGTTTCTAAAATTGAAGTGACAAACGAATTCACAGTCCGCTGGTTGTAAGTAGCTACTGTTAGCCCATGAACACCTGCGACCAACTTCAAATAAGGAAGGCTACAGATGTGCCGCCTTATTTTAATTTTAATTTTAAATTTCGTTTCTAAAATTGAAGTGACAAACGAACTCACAGTCCGCTTGATTGTCAGTGGCTACTGTTAGCCCATGAACACCTGCGACCAACTTCAAACAAGGAAGGAATACCTTATGAGCTGTAATTATACTGGCTCTCTATACTCTTCGGAACACAGCAGTGAACGCATTGTTATTCGGTGGCAGAAAAGAAAACAACCTAGTACCTAGGCCATATTCAAAGAATATGTATATTTATTTTGTAGTGGCGGCAGTTCACAGCAATTCTGGAATCCAATAAGAGGCAGTGGCAACTTTTTTTGGAACGAAGTTCTTTATCGGACGGTACGAATTTGGCGAATGGGGGCTAGGCGAGAAAAACTGTAAGATTTTTCCGTCACGACCTCTTCTCACATAAAGTACACGGAAATATTATTTTATTTTAAATGACGATTCATTTTATTCATCATCATCATCATCATCATTACAGCCATTCACAAGTCCACTGCTGAACATAGGCCTCCCCCAAAGAATGCCACAAAGCACCGTCCTGAGCCACCTGCATCCATCGACTTCCTGCATGTCTTACCAGGTCGTCACTCCATCTCGTGGGGGGACGCCCTACACTTCGCCTACCGGTACGAGGCTGCCACTCGAGAACCTTTCTTCCCCATCGGTTGTCGGTTCTTCGAGCTATATGGCCGGCCCACTGCCACTTCAGCTTACTAATCCGTTGGGCTATGTCGGTTACTCTGGTTCTACTGCGGATATCCTCATTCCTAAGTTTATCACGCAGAGAACCTCCGAGCATAGCCCTCTCCATAGCTCGCTGAGCGACCTTGAGCTTCCTCATACGGCCAGCAGTGAAGGACCACGTCTCAGTTCCGTAAGTCATCACTGGCAACACGCACTGGTTGTACAATTTCGTTTTCAGGTTTTGAGGTATGTCTGACGAGAAGATGTGTCGTAGCTTCCCGAACGCTGCCCAGCCGAGTTGAATCCGTCGATTGACCTCTCGGTCGAAGTTGGACTTACCTAGTCGGACTATTTGTCCCAGGTAAACATACTCGTCAACAACTTCGAGGTTAGTGCTCCCAACAACTACCGGCATAGGTGTGACATGGACATTGAACATGATCTTTGTTTTGTCCATGTTCATCTTAAGACCTATCCGTTGGGAAACACTATCGAGGTCATTGAGCATAGTGCTTAGGTCCTCCAGCGATTCTGCCATAAGGACTATATCGTCGACAAATCGAAGGTGAGTGATGTACTCGCCATTGATGTTGATACCGTATCCTTTCCAGTCCAGAAGCTTGAAAACGTCTTCCAATGCAGCGGTGAAGAGTTTCGGGGATATGACGTCACCCTGTCTTACACCTCTCTGCAATTGGATAGGTTTCGTACTCTGATTCTGTACTCGGATAGCCATCGTAGCCCTACTGTACAAGCACTTCAATACTTCGATATACCGACAGTCAACTTGGCACAGCTGAAGGGACTGCAGCACCGCCCAAATTTCGACGGAATCAAAGGCTTTCTCATAGTCCACATACGCCAGACATAGACTTCATTTTATTAGATGCTAATAATTCATTTATTTGTATTTGTTAATCAATAATATAATATGTTTATCAATAATAATATAATACGAAAGGAGCTCCGTTCCAACCGAGTGTTCCACGACACTCACCCATGTTTTGTTTTTTTCAAATCTAACTTATCGCGTCACCAACTGGAAAGGGCGGAAAACGTCTGCCGTCTCAAGTAACATTGTACAATGAGGGCATTGTTAAATCTATGACTTTTTCTGCCACCAGGGCGGCGCCACTTAAAAACTTAGACCATAAAACCCTTAGACCATGTCTAAGTTCGTAGCATTAGGCGCATTACTCGTCCTTTGGTTGAATGGTCTAAACTTAAAATGAGGTGTTTAGGTACACCCTCAGATTATAGAAACAACAGGAGTTATGGCAAGGAGGCGTGGCGCTTGCGAACGCATCTGGCCGCAAATCGGCCTGATGCCAGTTTCAGTAATTATTCGAATGTCGACTTGCGACGTGTTTACTGCTCGTGATTTCTGACAAAATGCCGCGTTGTTTAGAGATCGTTTTTTTTTATAGAATGGGGTGACAAACGAGCACACAGTCAACCTGATGGTAAGTGGTTACTGTGACCCATAGACATCTACATCTATCCTCAATAAAGACTCAATATGCAGATGTGTTGTCACCCGTGAGGACTAAGATGGAATGCCTCTTTGCCAGTAAAAAGGGTCTCCGGGTCTCTACACTCACCAAACGAAACACAGCAGCGTTAAGCTGCTATTTTACGCTGGTTTTCTGTGAAAGCGTGGTCCTTCCCCGGTCGAGCCAACCCATTCGTGCTACAACTGTTCGCGCAAAACGTTGATGTCGGAGTCGACACCAGATGTCACTCGGCTCGGCGCGATTCCGGTTTGAACTTCGGCTGGGGCGTGGCACGAGCGCGCGAGTCGCGAGCGAAAAGTCAGTCGTCTTTAATCGGTGCTGACGTGAGCACGCGGTCCATTCTGTTAGGGAACTCGGAATAATTCGGCGCGGCCAGTAAATATACGGTCTATCATTGTGACGCGCATTCCTACTGGAGAGCTTCCCGGGACTTATTGTGTCTGACTCAAAACCTGCATGAGTGCATTCGGCAATATTAGATAGTGCGGCCTCTGATTCTAGAATTAACTATTGCTACGCGAAACGGTAGTGACTTTTGACCCTTTAAACTCCGTGTGCGTTTGTGCGGTAACCATTATACCCAGCGATAGTTAGTGGCTTCTGTAAGTTAGTAAATCGTACGATAGAGTTAATTGACTGTCAACGTGACGAAAGAAGAAAGTGACTGTGGACAACCTCGAAAGGTCCCCTCAAGTTGGAGCGGTGTCGACGCTCGGGCTGCTGCCGACGGCCAAGGTCTAGGTTCAATCACCATCAGTCACACCCAGATACACACCACATCACCATTCTTTCCCTTGCACTCTCCGGAGGGACCAGTCGCCTTGGATATAGGTAGGTAAGCTTCGCCTAATTCCTCTGCCGGTTGACTGGCCGTAGTATGGAACGCTCCCCCATATATTTAGTGTAATTAGAGAGATTCCACGTGGCCACATTGAGGCCCGACCTACGTTTGCTCGGGAAGTCTTCTGCTTATGGGCCCCAGAGGATTGGATCCTTTAAGGGAGCAACCGTAGGCCGTAACAAACTGGTAGCAGAGCGTGGTTCCGGGTTCGATTCCCCGGTCGATCCCGACCATAGTGTTTGATAAACATTAAACAATTCTGGTGGCAGGGAGCGTTGGTTTGATTGGTTTAATTTGTATCTACAATCACGCCCGTCCGTAATACGTAAAAATATTTTTTGTACGTAATAATAGAATTATTTCCCTAAGTTGTTTGTTGCTTGCCTTTTTTTTGGTTAGTAGGTAGATTTGAAAAGCTGCGCCCTAGGTTGCGCAAGCGGGAGTTTTCTAGAGATATACGTCATGTAGGTAGATGGTTATTTTTACGTAATCGGTTAATTATCGTTGTCGGATAGTTGTAGTGGATTACTTAAATAAGGGTCAATTTCCGAGCTAGGCATTTTTTGTTGATCGACCGTGATGTGTATCTTCGTTTATACTGTAATTTGTATTTGAACTAAAGAGTAGTAATTGTATTTACGCAATTTGAATTTAACTTGATTTGATCGCACTAGTATTTGTTATTTGTTAATTTGATTTGTGCCTTTTCTTTTGTGCTAACTTGTATTTGGTTGATACGTAGTAATTCGTATTTGTGTAATTTCTATTCAACGCGATTTGATAGGAACTGCATTTATTAACTGTTAATTTTTGTTGTATTTTTTGTTTGTTATCTTTGTAATTTGTGCTCGAGCCGCGTCGTAATTTGTATTTAATAGTGATGACATCGCCCAAGCTACTGATCCGTTGTTTGCGGACTGAGCTACGCTGGGCCACAAGCGCCCATGCTTTGATAGATCGACCGGATAGGGTCCATAACTTGATGAAGCAGTTCGAGCAGGTGGATGCTCGAAGGGCCGCAGTGGAGGAGGCTTACGCTGAGCTCGAGGATTCGGATGTGGAGAAGGGAGTCCTGGACTCCTGCTTCGCGGACTATGAGCAGTTCTTGTGGCTCACGGACGAGTTGATCGAGGCTGAAGGCAGGTATGCTGAGGAGGCGCGTGAAGCTCGGATGAGTGACCTGTCCGAGTCCTCTCTGAAGCAGCTTCAGCCGGAGCTGTTGGGACGACTCCCAACTCTGGACCTGCCAAAGTTCTCCGGGGTCCTTTCCGAATGGCTGACCTTCGTTGGTCTTTTCGACAGCCTAGTGGACGCCCGGAGTGACTTGACCCCGAGCCAAAAGATGGCGTACCTCCTGGCCTCACTGGAGGGGGAGGCCCTGGGCGTCGTCGGCCACTTGAGATTGTCGGACGACGCCTACCAGACTGCTCGGGACCTCCTAGCCAGAAGATACGCCAACGTCCGGCGAATTGCGGACGATCAGGTTAAGCAGCTTCTAAGCCTCCCGCTGCTTAGTGACCGGGCCAGACTGCGTCCGGACCTGTTGGATCCAGTCTTGGTGGCCTGTAATACGTTGAGGCGGCTGGAATTGCCAGTGGGCGAATGGGCTTTTTTGTTGCTCCGCATCGTGCTGTCCCGTCTACCTCTCGACCTTCGAATCCATTTTGAGGAGAGGTACGGCGGGGACGAGGCCTCCTATATTCCGCCCTTCTATGACCTGCTGCGGTTTTTGGAGGAGCAGTGCCGGCAGATCGAGAACGCGGCGGGCACTGTTGACGACTTACGAGACGTGCCCAGTGAGAGGCTGAATCCTCCAGGCAAGTCGTCGTCAACCCCCCCCTGCTCATATTGTCGAGCGTCTGATCATCGGGTAACGTCGTGCCCGAAATTATTAGGTAAGCCGGTTCCAGCGAGGCGACCTATCGCCAAGGAGCGCCGCTGGTGCTGGTCATGTCTGGGAGGACACCTCCAGCGAGACTGTCCACATCGGCGGCCCTGTCTGCATTGCCAGGGCAATCATCATGCCGTTTTGTGCCTGAGTGCGAACGGCGTCTCCTCTCGGGGCTCTGCCAGGCCCTCGACCCCCACGGGCGGGGGCGCTCAGCCACGCCCTCTGCCGGGCGACTCTCGGTGCCCGCCGGCCTGCCATCAGGCCCCTAAGTTTGAAAGGGGTCCCTCCCCCGACCAGTCGGGGGGTAATTCCCCCAGGGGCGGGGGTGTCATCACCCCCCCTAAGCGTGTGGAGAGGAACTTCACGGCCACTCATCGGTCCGCTGGACCCTTCTCACTTCTGTTAGCTGAGTGGCCGCGACTGGTGTACCACTGTTCCCCATTTGATGGAGGCGGCCCTGTCTAGCTGCCGCCTTCGCTCCCACCACGGCCGCCTCCACTGAGCCTTAAGCCCTCAACAGTCCACTTGTCAAAATGTTCTGTTGCCGACGGCCTCAGTGAAGGCGTACAACCCGAGTGGCAACTGTTAGAGGTTGTGCTCTATTTATCTCGGGTTCACGCCATGTGGCCTCCCCTTGGTGGTGGGAAGATTAGGGCCCCTCTGGAGCTTTGAATCACGCTGTCAAGGGGTATTAGATTTGGTTTGATCGAGCACTTAGTCAAAAAAAATACTTTAATTAAAATTAAAAATTGCTTTGGGCTTTCCGCGAAATTTTCCTATTTGTAGCGGTTTAAATTAAAAGAATTGAATTTAATCTACTCCTTTAAATGCTACTGCATGTGTTTTGTACATATATTTAATCACTGTATTTGATTGTTGCGTCTGTTTGCTGAAAGGAAAATTTGAATTCATTTGAAATTGAATGGCGCACTATTTGAAAAATTATCTATATGTTTATGATAGTGTTTAATCATTTTGCTTTGCGAAGAAGTACGGCTGT